CGGGATCCCCCTCCCGCACCGCCGGGCTCTGCCCCTCCCCCCGGGGTCTCCCTCCTCCACCACTGGGCTCTGCGCCCCAATACCCCTCCCCCACTGCTGGCATCTACCCCAGCCCCTCTCCCAACCTCCGGGATGTTCCTCCCTTCCCGGCTGGCCCCTACCCCCACTGCTGGGATCTCCTGCCCCTCCCCCCCCCGAAGCTCCAGCCTTCCCCCCCCCTCCCGGAATGTGTCCCCCCAGAGAACCCCTCCCCCCCACTGCCAGCATCTGCCTCCCTTCCGGGGTGGCCCCTCCCGTGACCACTGGGATCTGCCCCCTCCGGAGCCCCCATCCCCTCCTCTCTAGGGATCCCCTGGATTCTCCCTCGGCCCCCCCTGCAAATCCCCCCGGAATCTGCTCCCCAGCCCCTCCTCCTCTGCTCCCCTCCTTCCCCCCCCCAATCCTCCATGGGAATCCCCCGAAGACCTGCCCCTCCCCCCTGAGATCTTTCCCCTCCCTCACTCCATGGGGATTTCCCCCCATCTCCTCCACGGGGACCCCATGTCCCCAGGCAGTCCCTCCCTTTTGGAGAAGGATCCTCTGACACATCCCCCCCTGGGCATCACCCCCTGTAACATCCCCGTCCAGCACAGGGACCCCCTTCGCTTCCTGCCCCCCAGTATCACAGAGGATGGGAGTGAGCCCCACATATTCCAGGAGCCCCCAGCTCACAGAGAGACCCCCCCCCCAGCCTCCTTCCGGGCTCCACCCCCCCCAGTAACACCCTGTTCTGACCCCCACCCAGCACTGGGACCCCTGCCCCCCAACATCACAGCAGACGGGAGTGAACCCCATATAAGGATCCCCCAAGAATGAGACCCCCTGTACCCACCCCACGTTTCTCCCCAGCACGTCAACTGCCCCTCCCCCACTAACCACCCGCCTTTCCCCTCCCCCGTTCTCTGCAGGCGAACTCCAGAAACCATGCAGCTCTCCTGGCTTTTGGCCACCGCCCTGTTTGCCGCCGCGGCGTCTGTGCCCATCGACCGACCCAAGGCAGAGAAGAAGGCGGAAGAGACACCCCCAGAACCGCCGGTAAGAGGCCGGGTCTCTGCCCCTTTTCGGACCGGATGGCGCCCCATCACCTTGTAGCAGGGAGTTCCGCCGGCAAGGCCGAGTCAATCCCAAGCCCCATGTTTAGTCCCTAGCCACTTCGTTGGCCCTGTGATGCCTGGTTTTGGCCTCAAACCCCCTCTCCCCTTTTTTGTTTTGTTTGGACCCAACAATGTGCTGTTGTCTTGTAGCAGGGAGTTCCGCTGGCTTATCGCCAAGTTGCTTCTGTGTGTCTGGGGTACCTGTCTTGCCTCTGTGACCTTCGTGTCTGAGTCCCACAGGATCTTTAATCCTCAGCCCTCCTCCTGTGAGCTAGGGCGGTGCTATTCCTCCATGTTATAGACGAGGGGAAACTGAGGCACGGGTCACTGTCCGAGCCTCTTCTCTCCCCCTCCCCCCCCGCCCCCGAGCCTGGCCTTCTTTTTATAAAACCTCTAAGGCATTGGTGTTTAGCTGCTAGGGGGTGTCACGGACTCACAGGTCGTGCCCACTCTTGGCCCCGTACGGTCCCTGGAGGGAACCCTTCAGTACGACACCCCCCACTTTGTCACAGGGGGTCACGGCGAGACCTAAATGTGTGGGGCAGATCTCCTGCTCCCTGGTTCCCACCCCTTCCTTTGATAGAGGGCTGCTTTCTGATGCAATCTCTCACGGTTTGTCCCTGATTCTCTCGGGGAATAACCAGAGACCGGCTGGGTGATGGGTGCCAGGGACCCTGGCTAATAACGGTTCGGCTAAAAACAACAGATTCCCAACACTCCCGGCAAGGGCGAAGGGAAAAATCTAGCTTGTGGATGCTGCGAAGACAGACATCGAAGGGTTTCCTGGTATGGGTGTTACAGCAGGAAAGCTGAGAGCCCCCCACTTAGGGGGCTGCGTGTTTGAATTTAACAAGACAACTAAACTCGGCTGCAATAGGATTGAAGTCAGACAATAAATCGATACTTCATCCGGCCGGCGCGCAGAGGAAGTGCACGTGACGCGTGGTGGCCCCCAAATTCAGCTCGGTTCTAACGCACTCCCCAAAATGAACGCCGCGGACGCTGGCCAGGGAGGAAGAAACCCCTTGGACATCTCTGGCTCGCAGCTTCGTTTGAAAATGATCAACTGACCTAATCAATAAGCCAAGGACATCTGGGGCTGATTGGTCGCTGCTGAGATCAGCTGTTGCCGTAGTTGGCCTTTAAGGACTTAGACGTGAATGAAAACATCAATCCGCTGTTACGTGGATTAAACCGAGGCTTGGCCGATTTGAGTGTGATGGATCATTTCAGCAGCGAAGCTCCGTGTTTATTTTTACGCCGATTTTCGGTGTTTCTCGACGTCGGTTTTCACGGGGGCGTGAAATTCGGAAATTGGAAAGCTTTCGAGGCGCTAAAACGCGCGTGATCAACGTCGTGTGGCGAACTAGCCCACGGAAATAGCCTTCAATCAAAGCGTAATAGGCTTCCCAGCAGCGTTTTCTCCCTCTTTGCCTCCCTGGGAGGTTCGATTTGCCTCCACGGCGCTGGTTTTTTCCGTGTGTCTGGGGAAATCGACGCTTACAATCCAAAATCGGCTCCTGTCACCGCGCCTCCTTACTGAACACACCTGAATGTTCCCTGCTTGTCTTGTCAATTATCGATCTGATCGTTAAGGGAATCATTAAGAAAGGGATAGATAACAAGACAGAAAAGGGGGGGAGGGATAGCTCAGTGGTTTGAGCATTGGCCTGCTAAACCCAGGGTTGTGAGTTCAATCCTTGAGAGGGCCATTTAGGGATCTGGACTAAAAAAATGTGGTCCTGCTAGTGAAGGCAGGGGGCTGGACTCGATGCCCTTTCGAGGTCCCTTCCAGTTCTATGAGAGAGGTATTTTAAAATATCATATTGCCTCTATATAAACCCATGGGACGCCCACACCTTGAATACTGCGTGCAGATGTGGTCGCCCCATCTCAAAAAAGATTATATTGGAATTGGAAAAGGTTCAGAAAAGGGCAACAAAAATGATTAGGGGTCTGGAACGGCTGCCATAGGAGAGATTAATAAGAATGGGACTTTTCAGCTTGGAGAAGAGACGCCTAAGGGGGGATATGATGGAGGTCTATAAAATCATGCCTGGTGTGGAGAAAGTGAATCAGGAAGTGTTGTTTACTCCTAATACAAGAACTAGGGGTCACCCAATGACATGAACAGGCAGCAGGTTTGACACAAACAAAGGGAAGTATTTCTTCACACAACCCACCGTCAACCTGTGGAGCTAGTTGCCGGGGGACGTTGTGAAGGCCAATCGTATAACTCCGTCCAAACAAGAATGAGACGTTCACAGAGGATAACTCTACCCGTTCCTGTTAGCCAAGCTGGTCAGAGAGGCAACCCCATGCTCTGAGGGTCCCTAAACATCTGACTGCCAGCAGCTGGGAGTGGACGGGATGGATCACTGGATACTAGTCCCAAGCCCCCTTGCTTCCCAGCTGGGCATCTGAGATCACCTCCCCCAGGCCCACCTCTGTCCATTGTCTTCTCTCCAGGGAAACCAGGTTACGGGGCCTTCTCTCCCCTCTTCTGTCTTCTGGCCGGAACCGGCTGGTCCGGTCACTGGGTCCTCTCTTCGCAGCCCATTGTCCTCCCACTGGCCAGAACCGGCTGCAACTCCTGAGCTGGGTCACCGGGTCACCGGTCGCTGGGGTATCCATCCTCCAGGCCATTGGCTGGGGTCCCAAGTTCCCTCTCCGGTCCTGTGTAACAACAAACTCCCTCTCCCCTCCCCTCGTTAAACCAGTAACACCCAGGGACACTGAGTCCCACCCCGTGGGCATGCAAACCATCGGAAAACAAGACAATCCCCCACTTCGTCACAGGACCGTTGGTCTGATCTAGTAGGGCCGTTCTTATGATTAATTCCTTGTTTCATCAATTCCATCAGTTACAGACAAGATCTGTGTCTTCTGCCTTAAAGGCTTGGTCAGCAGTTAGAGGAATTCCTGATAAGTTGGAAGCGTCTCTCGTTAGTTTATTAATTACAGACAACACCTGCCTCTCAGCCATGAGAAGTTGTGTCTCTCTCTGGGCTAAATCAATGGGGCCAGAGGGGGAGGATACACGATCCATGAATAACACGCTACGGTCCGGTTAAAATTTGATGGTGGCTCCCACACAGTTCAGGGGGCCTGAGATGAGACCAAAGACTCCCCGGCCCCCCGCGGGATTCCAGGACCAGCATTAACCCTTTCGCACCTGCTGGCGAGCACTGCAGCATACAAGGGAAACTGAGGCAGGCTGCGGCCTGCTGAAAAAGATAGCGGAAAATTCCCCGCTGGCTCACGCAGGTGGCACCCCCCGGATCAGGCCCCGTGGGCACGGTCATGTTTTGGCTGGTGGGTTCTGGGAAGGCGGATCGTGAAGACTCTCCTCTTGGGAGGATTACAGTAGCACCGAGTACCCCCCACAGCTCAGCTAGGCAAAGGGAGGATCATATACAGATGGGGAAACTGAGGCCTAGCCCCCCTCCCCGCTCTAACCACTAGACCCCACTCCCCTTCCAGAGCTGGGGAGAGAACTCAGGAGTCCTGGCTCCCAACTACGAGCCCCTCGTGGCGCAAGTAAGGCGTCACCTGAAGCAGGATGGGCGACCGTGTTCTGTGTGGTCGCTGTACGTCCCCGGCAGATTCTGTGTGTCCTGGAGGAAATGGGGGGGGGGGGGGCAGATCCGGCCGGGGGGTCCCCCCTGGCCGGGAGGGGCCCGTGGCCTGACCTCTCACTGTCCCTCGGCAGGACACGGGGCTGTATTACCATCGCTACCTGCAGGAGGTGATCAACGTGCTGGAGACGGACAGTCACTTCCGGGAGAAGCTGCAGGCGGCCAATGCCGAAGACATCAAGGTGAGAGAGACGGGACGTGGGGCCTTTCCCCTCTGGGGGGCCGCCCTATCTGGCCCCAGGGTGGGCTGGCTGGGGACGGGGCGTGTCTTTTCCTGCCCCAGGGTGGGCTGGCTGTGGGGTGGGAAATGGGGAAGGGGGCGTGTCTTTTCCTGTGCCCGGGTGGGCTGGCTGGGGGGCGGGGCATGGGGAAGGGGGCGTGTCTTTTCCTGTGCCCGGGTGGGCTGGCTGGGGGGCGGGGCATGGGGAAGAGGGCGTGTCTTTACAGCAGTTCCTCCCCCTTGTCCGTGGCAGAGCGGGAAGTTGAGCAAGGAGCTGGACTTCGTGAGCCATCACGTCCGCACCAAGTTGGACGAGCTGAAGCGCCAGGAGGTCTCCCGGCTCCGCATGCTGCTCAAGGCCAAGATGGACGCCACCATGGAGCAGAGTGAGTGGGGAGCCCGGACGCCTGGGGTCCTTCCCCAGCGCTGGGAGGGGATGGGGGTCAAGTGTGTGTGTGTGGGGGG